GTCCACCAGCATGTGGCCAAGCTCTTTATTATGGGACTGGAGTAACACAAGTTTCTTCAGGATCTTTGGTAGTGTTAGTTTTATTTATTACAATTATTCTAAGGTATGTTGTTTTTTGTTCTGCTTTGTATAGAAATTTTTGCTGTTGCAGTATAATATAATATAATATAATATAATATAATATAAATTTATTTTGTATTATTTATGAATATAAATTTGCAGAAATTTCCACGCCAAATATTAATTATCCTGGACTTCAATGGGCAGCAGCAAATCAATGCAACTTATCAAAATGGTTGCTGATAGTACTATGGTTCACTATTCTTAATACACATTAGAAATATTACTAATACCTTTAGGAGCCTAATTTGTTTTTAACTTTTATTAGATGATTATTTTTGTAGTTATTTACAAATGAAATTGAATCATTATTAGCGAATATAATACAAGTTTTAGGGGCCAACAATATAATAAATGTTGGCAAGGTACAAACTAACATTCCAGAAAAATATATAGTGATACATAGTAAAAAAAAAGTAATGATATTATTAATAGTTTAAAATTTATAGATATATTAGTCCTTTTTCATATGTCAGTACAACTGATAAACACAAAGAAGTGATTGATAATAATGTTATAAATATATCAGCCTTTAACATAGTTTATAGTAGGAATTCAAAAATACGTTCAATTTAACACATTCGAGATTAATATATTTTGATAAAACTTCTAATGAATAATTTTTTTCTATTTATAATAAGGAAAAAAAAATTAATTATTATGATATTGAGATAAAATATATTTCAAAGTAAGATAAATAAATAAGATTTATATTTCTTGAAAGAGTTATTATATAAAACTCTACTATTTTCACAATCATTGCAAATTTTTATATAATTCTTTATATATCTATCTCTCGATCTGAGTCATATACACTTTTTTTTTTTATTTTTGTTTTTTTTAATTACATTTAAATACATATTTATCTGTTTATTTATATTTTATTTTATTTTGTAATTGATTTTTCCAATTCAATAATTTTAAGTGATAATTAGAAAATTTTTTAACTAAATGATATAGATCTCCTTGATCTTGGATGTGTTAAATATTTGTTAATGTCCTGTTTAGAGGAATTCGAAATAACAATATTCTATAGTTGCCTTGTTATATAATGTTTGGCAAAAAGAAAGAAAAATTAATATACATGTTACTGTATCTTGATCGTGATAAAGCATGTAAAATTTGTTCTAGAATTAGATCAAAGATTGTATATTGTAGATGAAATTATTTATAACAATTATGATCAGAATATTTTTTATTATATTAACAAATGCATAAAAAGACCGCATACTCATAACAGGGATCGTTTTTGGAACTTAAACTTAAAAAAATATTTGTAATGACCTGTAGGCTGGAAAGACTTATATCGATATTATATCGCGGCAAATTACTTTATACGTCCGGGACGTAATATGAAAGGTAATGAGAAATAACAAGAAATGTTATAAAATAACTTCATTAAAAAAATTAATTTTTAATATTTTCTTTCATTAATAAAGAAACAATATTGAATAAATTTAATTATACAAATATTTGAATATAATAGGAAGTTTTTTTATTTCTAATTATGCGTTAAGAAAATAAGTAATTTTGTAATTCTAATTGCACTATGTATACCATAATATTAATACAAATGAATATTTCCTGTTTTTTCTCCTAGCTTTCACATATAATAAGTGCTGAGAAACGTAGAATCTCGAATAAGTAAGATTTTTTATGACCTTTTTACGAGTTTGCAATTTTATATTTACTTCTAGGCTAATATGAATTTTAATAAACGAAAATTGCGTAAAAAATTTTTTTCTTACATTATTACCTGTTGTTTCATATGTTAAGAACAAAATAATGAAACATGTTTAATTATTGTTAAAAAATGTTTATTTTATTATTTAATTTCATATTTAATTTTCCTTTTTACAATTTGAAGACTGCTTTACTGATTTCGCCTCGTTTCAGAGCTTCCAAAGCTTCACGATATTGCGACAACGAGAATACTTTAATACCTAACTTATCATAATTCAGATATCTATCAGCCATTGCACGTAATAAACCCAATCCTCTGGGAAATGAGAAAGGATTTATGTTTACACCTAATATCGTCAATTCCTTTAAATATACCTGTTGAAAAATAAAAGTTAAATTAATTTATATTCGATTATCCATTGATTATTTTAATAAGAAACGATTAAAAAACGAATAAAAAAATGATGACTCAGATGCGTGGGAATGGAATGACACACAATTATGATTAATTTACCTGGAATGGTTCGATGCTGAATTTAGCTTTGGGATTGGCAACTCCGAATATACATAAACGACCACCTGGTGCTAATAAAGGAATACTTGCTTCTATAGCGGGTGCGGAACCACTACAATCCACGACCACGTCATACGAATTCTTTAATTGTTCTGGACTCTTTGCCTCGAAATCCAGATCTAAAAAATATAGTCATCGCAATTTTCTTTCATCAATGATAACTTTTGTAATTCGATTAATTATTTAATTAAAAAAAAAAGCATCATTATAGAAAAGAAATAATGCTAATTATCAAGAGAATTGCACGTCAAATATATAATTCATACACTCGCTCGGATATCCTTTTCATTATTGCGACGTTTAAAGCATATTCTTAGTCTTACTGAACAATTCAGAACAAAAACTTTTTATCTTCCTTTATTTTTTTCAATTCAACGCTATTCGTTTGCAAATTAAAAATAAGAATATTTGACGAGATTCATCCCTACCAAGTTTCGTCACCAGTTTCCGCCGTTTTTCCTGGGGCTCGCTGATCGTCACAGATTTTCTAAGCCCATGCAAATGTAACATGCAAGCCCACAAAAGACCAATGATTCCGGCGCCAATTACGAGCACGTTGCTACCAACGTTGACGCTATTAAGTTTCTTCCATCCATGAGCTAAACACGACAAAGGCTCGACGAGGACGGCTTGATGTAATTCGACGTCATCTGGTATTAAATACACCTGAATAAATTAAAAAAGAGAGAAAAAAGGTTAACAAAGCTTACTTAGCTCGTTCGATTGTGAAATTAATAGGAACGAACCTGACTTTCGGGTACGATAGCGTGAGTGGAGAATCCACCATCTTTATAAATCCCTATTGTGCTGTTTATGCCACCGGCGGTACAATGCTGATAAGAACCATCGTGACAGTAGTTGCACGTATTACATCCACTGTTAGGATCGACAGCCACTCTTTGCCCGACTTTGAAGTTCTTCACTGAGGAACCAATCGCGTCCACTGTGCCTGCGAATTCGTGGCCAAGAGTGAGAAAGCCATCTTTCTTGCATGGAAACGATCCCTGTGAAATACAATTTTTTTCATTAGTTGTAGTTGTATAAAAAATTATTATACTTATAGAATATGAATGATTTTAAATTTTAGAGAAATGGAATATATATATGAATGTAAGAATATCGAAATTAATTAATTTTCTTTGTTCATCTCTTTTTTTAAACGTCTAGAATTTTCACGACTGATCATATTCCGATACAACTATCAACTTATTCCATCTATTTGCAGCTTTTATTTTTATATTGAACTTTTCCTTATCACGAAACGTTCCATTGTCGTGTCTCGGCCCGGTATCACGAGATTTATTTCGCATCGTTTGGAAAGAGAAAAAAAAGCGGGAATTATTGTCATACCCATGGTAATATTCCAATCGGTATAATGTGGTTACATGCACAGGAACGATAAAGCGCACTGTATATACGGTTGATATCGTGTTTCGTGAATATTTATCAAAAAGCTAACGCGGTCATAATGTCTATCTCTGGAAATACTTGTGTATGTGTTACAAGGAATTATGCAATTTTTTAGTAGTACGATCGCAACGGCGTAGTAAAGTCTCGTGAGGTCAGAACAATAAAAGGAGGAGGAGAAGGAGGAGGAAAAAAAAAAAAAAAAAAAACGTAATGCTCACGCGAAAAA